ATCGGAGGCCTGCTACTTGGAGGCACTGGGGCTTTACAAACGATCCTTCGGGCGCGACCACCCGACGAACTTTGCAGTTCTGCACGATCTAGGCGCGCTTTGCGAGAAGGACGGATACGCCACCGAAGCAGCTGCACTATATGAGCGCTCGTTCGCAGGCAGGTTGAAGACTCTGGGACAGCACGCACCGGAAACATTGAGTAGCATGCAGGATCTCGCGTCTCTGAAGGTCTCCTTGGGTGACCTAGAATCTGCCCTCCTCTTATTGGAGAGGGCGGTTCCTGCTCTCGACACGGTGTTTGGACTCCAGAACGAAACGACCCTGAACGCAATGAATAAGTTATCTCTTCTGTATCAGAAGCTCGGCCTAGTCAAGGAATCTCGTCTGATATGCGGCAAAACCATCCCGCATTGCAAGACTATATTCGGCGTAGCGAGTGCTATTACGAGAGATGCCGTTGTCCGGTACATTCAAGGCTCTGAAAATTTTGACTTTCCCCCAGAAATCATGGACGTACTCGACCGATACCGCAACTCTCGCGACCCCGAGGCCCTTCGGGTTATCCATCGATTGGGTAGATCGTACATGGATGCAGGACTGAACCGAGACGCTGCTGATCTTTTCGAGACCTTGTTCGAGGACCTCCTGGTCGTAAGAGGACCAGAGGCTCCTGAAACGTTCGATGCGCTCAGTGCGCTCTGCGTATCACGCGAGCACCTCGACTCCGTGGATAAAGCCATCCTCGCCTATCACCAGCTCGTTCAAATGGCAAGTGCCACACCCGACAACCACCATTCGCGGAAACGGATCGGCTATGCACAAAAGAGAATCGTCGAGCTCAACCGCAGGCGAGAGGCCCTGGCTACAGAGAGAAAAGAGTGGGGATTGCACGAGCCGGGGCAATGTGAGAACTGCGGAACATCCACTAAAATCCTCTGCAATTGTGAGCCTCCTCCCTGACATCTTCCCTGCGACTCACCGCACAATCTGACGAGCCTTCCAGCATGCAAAATCTTCCGTTTCTGCAGCGAACCGTGCCACAAAGCCAGCCTGCAAGGACACCTCCCCTACTGCATCCCCTCCGTGTCCCTCCGCGAGTCCAAATCCCTCGCCGTCAAACCACGCTGCCCACCCTGGGTCCGAGACCAGGCTCTCTCAAAAATCCGTCCCCTCGACAGGAACAGGACCGTAGATGTACTCGCCAGCTACACCTTCTACTTCGATCCGCGCAACTTCACCACGTTCCGGATGAAGCTCAGCTCCGTCACAAACACAATCATCATCTTCTCCCTAGACTCAGACATCCAGTTCGCAACCATCGACAGCAGCTCCTCGTCGTCATCGTCATCCGGACCCGGCAACACAAGCTCTTCACCCTCAACAACCTCCAGCACCACTGCCCGAGAAATACAATGGCTAACCCCCCAACGCCAAGAAGCCATCTGCTATATCCCCCCAGAGGCCTCCAATACACCCGCAAAGTACGTCCTCGTCAGCCCCGGAAAGGGAATGTTCAGAACAGCCATCCAGAAGAGAATCAGCGTGCGGGGCTCGAATGGCGAAAAGGAGCATTTTCGCTCTCTGTCATTGCCGGATAGTGAGCTGATCGAGTATGCTCAGGGCCTGCTTCTGACGGGATACCTGGAGGAAGCGTTCATGTATGTCATTGAGTGGGAGTGGAAGTGAGGAATATTAATGCACGAACGACCCTTTTCCTTTCCTTTGTTTCTAAAGTTGTCGAGAATACGGACTTGATAAATACCATGAGATACTTTCGATAGTTAAGCATGTGGTGTACCCTGAGCATGAGCGCAACAGCGAGCCATTTGGATTGACATGATTCGTATGATCCAATGGGCTCTCTCAATTAATCTTATCCAGCTATCTAATCCCACCTACACGGACAAGACGTGCCAATGATATGAAAGTTTAGATGTCCCTAAATCCAGAAGGAACTATAAATCTATCAATGCTCTCGCCAATATATACATATAAACAAGCGCTCGCACAACAGATGAGCGAGGAAATCTAACGTGAACAGAATAACAACAGAAACACCGGACTCGAGGCTTACAGACACTATACATGATCATCAATTCGTAACAACCGGGTGATAACCGACTTGACGTTTCCGGAGCTCAATCACCGGCTTGAGGGACGCTCGTCATCCGATTTATAATTCTCGTCGTCGTCGCTTTCCCAATCTTGCGCCTCTAAAGAGCGACCCTTGATGCCGAAACTCAAGACAAAACCGACAAAAGAAACGGCAGCAAAGACACCGAAAGCTAGTAATTCTCCCTTTGGTTGGACGCGGGAGGCCAGGGAGAAAAGGCCACCAGATAGAAACGGGCCAGCCGCTCGACCAGCGGCGGCAAGAGTTTGCGCAAGACCATTAAGTGCTCCCAGGACTGTGTGATCCGGAGCAGAGTTCGTAATCTGGGCCGCAGAGTTAGCGCATTCTCAAAATCCCAGTCTGGTTGAGGGTGATCTTACCAGTAAAAGTGCACTAGCCAAACCGCCAACCGTAGCGACCGTCTTAACCAAGAGTACGAAGCACAATTCAATAGCCATGAAAGCAGTCTTTTTGGTCAGCCGACCATCAGAATCGTCTCCTTTGTATCCGACGAAAGGCATGAGCATGAACGACAGCACGAAGCCGAAGAGGCCTGCCCGATATGACCACCTGTTGCCCATCTTATCTCGCAGTCTGCCGAAGATACAGACTTGGAAGAGTATAGTGGCCAGCCCGGCAAAACCTTGCGAGAGACCAATTTCGCTCGGAGTAAGGCCTCGTCCCGTAGGAGGGGAAGCTTGCGAAAAAATAGGGAAAAGCGAGTTGAAAGACACGTTGCCCAGGGCGAAGATGAGATACGTCAGCAAAAGCAAAACAGTGTCCCGATTCCAGATCTCGCTTTTGAGCAGGGACTCATGTGTGACTCCTCGACGACTGGACACTTCCGAGGCGGAGTCGAGTTCGCTATCATGATCTTGCTCAGATGCATGCTGTTGCACGGAATGATACTCATGGGGAGGGTACGCCTGTCTTGCCCGCTTTGCAGAACTAGTCCACTCCCACAACCAGGCAAACACTGCACGAATTCTGCGTTTGAATGTAGGAATAATCTCCGCATCCTCGAGGCTCTCTTCGAGAAATAGGCTCGTCAAAATGAAATCCACCCCAAGAATTCCCGCACACACGAGGTTTGGCCCGGCATAAGGATATGGATTGGGTTTGTTCTTGTCCAAAGGACTTCGCGGGAAGACTAGTAAGCCGCCAATAAGAGGTCCCGTGATACCTCCAATACCGTAGAGGACAGGGAGATAAGTAAAAGCTTTCGACTGGTTGCTTCTGTCGGTAATCTCTCCCAGGCATGTTGACACCAATCCCTGGTTGCCATTGACAGCGCCCATCAACGCCTGCACCAGGATGGCCTGCCATAACGTCTTACAAAATCCAAACGCTACCATGCAAACTGCAGTGAGGATTGTCCCAAGCAATATGACAGGCTTCCGTCCCACGCGATCAGAAAGCCAACCCCAGAAGTAGTTGGTTATGAACTGCGCTATCGCAAACGCCGAGGCGATCGTTCCAACATAGATACCCACCGACTGCTGTTCGACTCCGGGAAACGACGCCGCCATATCGGGCAAATAAGGGCTGATCGAATTGAGTGCCGTCTGCTCACAAAGCGCGATCATCGCCAACACCGCCATCTGCTTCTTCGGCAAGGGAGATCGTGATCCATCCTCGCTTCCGGATCTATGTTGTTGCTGATTCGAGTCGCCGCCTGAGGATTCGGATTGGCCTGAGTTCGGTCTTCCACGCGACTTTGGAGGAGGAGTGTCGAAGGTTTGATAGTGCTGCGTGTTTGAATGACGCCTATTGAGCGAGTTCTGTTCAGGCTCTCTCATCCTCACGGGGCACGATCCTCGCGCAATTCGAGAAATGATGTGTTTTCTGTAATGATTCGAACGAAGCTTGAATGTAGTAGGTAGGTCCACTGCTGATCCAGTTTCTGTGCTGCTCGATGGTCTCCAGAAAGTTCAAAGTGCGGAGGAAAATCTTGGGGTCACGCGGCCGGATTGGGAAGGAATAATGCCTTCAAAGCAACCGCTCATGTACTTCCAAACGGGCGAATTATCAATCTCGAACAAGCCTTTCAGTGTACAATAGCAAGGAAACGCACAGAGCAGAAGTGAACAAATCATGCAATGGCTGATGATTGAGTGAGCAGTCACTGTCCAGAACTTGATACTGAGATGATGATGTAAGCGATCGATCGGGGGGGACACGCTGAGTCATGTATCTCCCACGCGAAGTACCAACAATCCCAGGCCCAGAATCATTAATGATTCGCGCTATATCCGTGGTGGTGTCAATGAAGTCATTTCAAACAAGATAAGATTCAGGAACCAAGGGATGTCATAATCCTCCCATGAAGGTCGAGATTGTAGTAGCATTAGAGAGGTACACTACACAGTAGTAATCAAGACCATCTCTGAAAACAAAATGATGTCATACCTCAAGGCAAAACAAATTGTTAGATTCATCGTCCAAAATCATGTATGATTCCTCCTGCATAAGAGCCACACAACTTATGATGCAGTAACAATGACTGACTTAAGCTTATGGTGCGGGAGGCTCTGAATGTCCCGTCTTGTGCATGAGGAAGATTGAACTGTGGATGTCTGCGAGATTCCAAGGCCGGATTGACATTCCTTGAAATCTATTGCAGTTTAGGGCGAAAAAGCCTCCAAGAAGGCCTGCTGGCCCAATGGTAAGGCGCTTGACTACGGATCAAGAGATTGCAGGTTCGAATCCTGCGTAGGTCATTCTTTTTTACTACTTTTTTGTAGTTTTGTCTCTCTTATTTCTTTCTTATTCCTACCGTTGGGAAATTGATGCGCATACTCGCAGTAAGCTAATTTACAAGAACATTTCAAGTAGGCATGAAGGCAAGATGGTATAAACCTCTATAATATGGCAAAAGCTGCGCGTTCACTTCATCAACAGATTGACAGCCCAAGGCACACTTAGGCCCCTCAAATCACCATAGTGCTGGCCCACGCCCAGAAAAACAATAGGAATTCCTGTTGCATGCACCATGCTGACGAGAGTACCTACCATGTCACCAACGGTATCACATTTACTGATGATGAACCCATCGAGGTTTCTTCCAGTGCCGAAGGCTTGGTTGAAGTTGCGAGCCTGCATCACACTGTCCGTACCGACTAGTGCTTCACCGACCATAAAGATCTTATCCGGTTTGGCGAACTTCGCAAACTTCTCAAGCGAAGACATAAGGCGTTGGTCGTTATGACGGCGACCGGCAGTATCAATCAAGACAACATCGAATTGATTCGCCGCACCGTACTCCACCGCGTCCTTTGCTACATTCGCTGCATCCTTCCCGTATCCCTTCTCGTAGAGTTCAACTTCTCCAGCATTCTCTCGAGCACTAAGTTCCTTCAAATTGCGAGCATGGACTCGTAACTGTTCCACTGCTCCAGAGCGGAAGGTGTCACACGCTGCAATGAGAACACGATAGTTATTCTGGAGAAGGAAGTAACAGATTTTGCCCAGATTTGTCGACTTTCCAACACCATTGACGCCCACAATGGAGATGACGTATGGGCGAGGAGCCTGTCCTTTGCTCGTAGGAGATCTAACGGCATCGATCTCACGCAATAGATCTAGGGATGACGTAGGTGTCAATATTTTGCGCAACGAGGACTCCATTGCGGAGCGCAACGCTGCATCAACGCTTTGAAAGTTGCCTGTCTTCTTGCCGACTAATTCTCGCTGGACGCCTTCACATAAACGGACTGCCGCTTCGCGCGCAATGTTCTTCTTCAGCAAATGGTCCTCCATAGCTTTCAAGGGCTTCTCCAGGTCAGCCTCAGTGAGGACTTTGCCGCCGACAATATTACGGAAAAATCCGCCAAGTGCGTTGACTCCTGACCCAACAAGGCCCGTAGACGAGGAAGCTTTTGCCTTTTCATGATCGGCATTCTCAAGAATGGAATGGACTTCATCCCCTAGATCTTTCAGGACAAATTGGCCCTTGCCTGTTCGGCGTCCCCAGGATTCTTGCGTGACAGCCTCTATTACTGGAGCCGGTGCGTCCTCGCCATCTGCAGGTGCGGAGTAATCGAGGACCTTGCCATCGTCCTCATCCGCGAAGCCATCAGCATCCCACTTGCGCATCTTTTTCCCGCTTTTTGGTGTTTTCCCCTTCCGAGTGCTTTCATCTCCAGAAGAAGCAGTAGCGCTGGCGTTGGCCGCTTTGCGTGCGCGTCGAGAGGCGCGGCCAGCAGGCCCTCCCTTGGCGGTCAACAGATGACCTGAAATGGGCGTTGACGACCGAGAAAGATCTGGGGTCTGGGGTGGCGAACCCTCGTCCGAGGTCGCCGCGCCCTGCGCAACTGGACGTTGCGCTTTGGGGTTAGTTAGCAACAGAATCACGAGCAGAGAAAAATTATCGACATAAAATACCTTTGAGCAGACCAGGCACGGGCGGCGGAGGCGGCCCGCCATTATCTGATGAAACAAGAGGGTCCTTTTTCTCTTTGACCTCTGCTACAAGAGTTTCTGATGTAGGAGCCCCAGCATTGTCCTCAAGCTCTCGCACCTGCTGGTCGAAGTACTTGTCGAACGGGTACTCAATAATCCTAGCGCGTGCGCTCCTCAGCTCATCCTTATATAAGTCAATGAATATAGTCGAAATATTATCCAAGAGTTTGTCGATCCAACCAAGGTGTAGCAGAGATTGATACACAGCCTAGAATCGGTCAGCGGAGCGATTAAATCAAAGCGCGGCATGAACATACCACAAAGATCAGATTGAAATCCTTGACTTGCTTCCATTTCAGAGTATACTTTTCCTTCTTGTATATAGGAGCTGCACCGCTGGTTGCCTGATTTAGAGCTCGAACCTTCTCCTCAATGAAGACATCGTTGATTAGGCTGTTGACTACATGCGCTCCGACCGGCGCATACGACTTTGACCAAAGCACCACCCCGGAGGTAGTCAATACTTCGAAGGCTTCTAACATGTCGTAAGCTCTTTTTGTGTATAATATTCAGGGTGAGCGGCGTGGGTTCTGGGGAACGGACAGGTGAGTGTAGTGGCCACCATCTAGTCGTAGTGGGGAACCGCGGGCGGAAGAGGTGAGAGCTCTCCGCCGATCAGAGGGAGTCCAGCCACGTATAAACACACTTCAACATCACTCACACTCAAACTGCCCGACTCTCAGTATCCCCCCCTCTTCAGCTGCTAGAAGTCAAGAAGACGAGGCAGAATACTCCCGAGTTTTTTGTTCATCACTCGCTTCTCACTCATACAGAAAACTCAGCATGTATCGCCAGTCTTTCGCACCGCCGCCGGCGCAGTCACCTCCACTCCACCATCCTGTGCCTCAGCATGTGTCTACTGTTCCCATGATGCGCTCGCCTCCTCCCCCAACATCCCAGCAACCTCAGTCGTCTGGGTATGGTAATCCTTATCAGCCTTCTCCTGCGCAGGGCGGCAGCGGAACATATGCGCCTGGTTTTAGTGGGTTCATCAGTGATCCCACAGCGCAGATGGGATTCCAGGTTGGGAAGACGGCGATGGCTGCTGGCCAGGAGTATATGGAACAGAACGTGAGTTCACTGATAAAGAAGCCTACTAACCCCAAAACCTACGAGCGTCTGCTGAATTTCGATAGTTCAATCGCTATGTCTCCATTCCAGCTCTCAAACATTACTTCAACGTTTCGAATTCTTACGTCCTGAATAAGCTCGCACTCGTGCTCTTCCCCTGGCGACACAAGCCTTGGTCTCGTCAGCAAGCACGTTTAACAACATCGTCGGCGGGTCCTAATGGCCAGATTGCCCAGCAACAATACTCATCCATGTTCCTCCCTCCTCGTGACGATCTGAACTCTCCAGATATGTACATCCCTGTGATGGCGCTCGTCACTTATATTCTGCTTTCAGCGGTGCTGGCGGGATTCCGAGGTCATTTCCATCCGGAGCTACTTGGCTCGATAACTACGACGGCTATTGCGGTCATAGTTTTTGAAATACTGTGTCTCAAGTTGGCTATGTACATTCTCAGTATCAACAATGAATCTCAGCTGTTGGACCTTGTGGCATACTCTGGTTACAAGTTCGTTGGCATCATCGCAACTCTGGTTATGTCCGAGATCTTCACGCCAGGAAGGGGAACTGGCGGTTGGGTTGGCTGGGTTGTGTTCGTTTATACATTCCTCGCCAATGCTTTCTTCTTGGTAAGTGAAAAACATTGTGACTCCAGCCTGCCAGCCCGTTGACAATTTCCAGCTCCGCTCGTTGAAGTACGTTCTACTCCCAGACTCAACCAGTGATGCGTCCATGCGCGCCGGTTCGATGCATACGGTTGCCCGTTCGCAGCGCAATCGTCGAACTCAGTTTCTATTCATCTACTCTTATGTCATCCAATTCATCTTCATGTGGGTGCTGAGTCGCGAGGGACCAGCTACTGCTGCCTCAGCGGCTGCAAAGGGTGCCGGGTCGCTGTGATGATTCCATTTAATGACAGCGAAGTTGCACATAATAATGACATAGACGGGCGTCATGAAAAGCAAGCAGTCCTCGACCCTAGGTCTTCGCTTGCCGGTGTTCATTGCGACCTATGTACTAGTGAGGCTCAATGCCATAATGAATTTCTTTGACTTTCCACACGATTCTTACTGCCGGAGCATTTGCAGCCCCCCTACGAAAATTCGCAGAAGCCATTAGATAGAGAACATCTATAGAAATATTATACGGCGAGTACAACGTAACGAGTCTAGCACTGGCTATTGAGGACGAATTGAAAGACGCATATTATTGTTGTTCCATATGACTATATAAGGATCCATAGCTGTGGACCATAACCTGTGAATGTCTCATGTTAGACAAATGCATAGAAGCGAAATTGTATAAGCAAAGATTGAAAGGTCACAAGTCCTCAGAGATCTTGGTGATAATGCAACATATCATGGCCATAGAGGCGTCATATACTATCTAGGCAGTGCAAAAGGTGTAATCATCGGACGGTGACTGTGAAAGGAAACAACAGGCGAACGTACCAGAAATGTGCTGATTGATGAGATTGACAAGTAGACGAGAACCTAAAATATCTTAGAAACGTCAGCTCGCTGAAAGCAGGAATTGTGACAATAATGAAAAAGGAGCAATAGACAAATATCAGAATATGTAAGAAATGTATATCATGCGGCAGCGCTGCTTAAAGAACCCCGGCAAGGGTTCACAGACACTGCGTCAATCGCAAATTACCGCATCATGTGAAGGGTGATATTGAGAAAATGGAGATAGAAAACATACCAGTAAGATATAAGATATTGCATGAATGAACCTGTGTACGTCAAGTCAGTTGCAGATAGCATAAACAGAACCTCATTTTGTCCTGAATGAATGAGCCAAATGCCAACTCAAACGCTTCGCAGATGCAAGGAAGAGGTAAGCAAAATATTTTGGGAGAAGCTTAAATGTAATTTTCCCGGAACGGAGAAATAAGTGAAGCCGGTTTAGAAGCGCCAAGGCCCCAGCGAAAAGCAGCCCTAGGCCGCACGCAACCCCGTTCGGCGAGTTGCTACTGGCTGTTAAGCGAGACTCTTGTGGGCGAAGACCGCAACACCCGAATTTCGCGATCCAGTAGCCCAGAGCGACTTGTGTGCGTTTCGGACGACTTTGACAACCCCGACTCTTCGACAACAAATTCCCATCACCGCCCTCCCGGAGTCTGTCGACCGTGAGTTGAAATCTACGCCGTCTATCGCATCTCTGGACTGTCACTGAACAACCCGTTTTTATCGTTTTCTAGGAAGCCTTCGCCATGGCCGATATCGATGTCAAGATTGCTCAATGGAAGCTTGTTGAGGTTGGCCGTGTTCTGCTGATCCGCAGCGGTCCTTTCACCGGCAAGCTTGCTGCCATTGTCGAGATCATCGACCACAAGCGTGTACGTTTTCAACGGAGGAATTCTGAGCGCAGAACGGAAAAATTATGGTCGGATGTGATATTGACAAAAGTCGCGATGATAGGTCCTGGTTGACGGTCCTTCCACCGAGGAGAACAAGATCGTTCCCCGTCACGCCCTTCCCCTCGCTCACGCCACTCTCACCCCCTTCGTCATTCCCAAACTCCCCCGCGCTGCCGGCACTGGTCCCGTGAAGAAGCTCTGGGAGAAGAACGAGATCGATGGAAAGTGGGCTAAGAGCACCATTGCTCAGAAGACTGAGCGCGCTGAGCGGAGGAAGAACCTGACCGACTTCGAGCGCTTCAAGGTCCTCAGACTCAGAAAGCAGGTACGTGCAGTTTGCGAACCTACGTGTGAATTGTGATGGGACATTGGAGGATAGTTTCGGCCACTCTGCGCTCGCTTATCGCGAGAGGAAAGAGGAGCAATTACTTGCAAGATAATCTGCTATCAGTTGCTGACTTTTGGTGATTTATCAGGCTCGCTACGAGGTCCAGAAGGCTCACGCCAAGGCCAGGGCTGCTGCTCCTAAGTCATAGATGTTTTCATGAGGCTCGGTGCATAGTATGAAGGGATACCTTGGGACGGTTTTACATGGCTGAGGGTTTTATTCTATTTCAGCAAAAAATAAGCTGTATCCACTACAATGACAGCCAAAAAATGATTCAAAACCTTGATATCCTGACATGGGTTATCCTACTATGTCATCAGATTGGCGCACCCGATTAGTACATGGCTCTGGTTTTTAGCCGTCTCCTTAGACATTAATTGGGAATTAAACAATTTAGACATAATTTCCCCTTGGAAGATTTAGGAATATATCTTCATATATACTATTTGAGTTGAATTAGTTCGTTGTGACTTGTATAGCTTGTAAAGGTGGTGCTTGTGTGAGTCCGGGGTGAGGGTCACAATCACCTCGCTAACGATTTTCGGCAGGATGGCATTCACACAGCTTTGCGACCTTCCACTTACAACAAGACAAAAAAACCCCAAATCATCCCCAACAGCCCTCTATCTGTGAACTAGGTATGTTTATATTGATTTTACAGGTTCCAAGTTCATCGCTGGCCCCAATTTCGAATTTCTTGCACTTTTGGTGGAGATTTCAGTGTTTCGTGGGGCATTTTCCGACGTTTATATTTGAGCGACCAGACGGTGCTCCAGTTCGAATCGCTAACTGTCAATTTAAAAGCCCTTCTAGGCTCGTTTAAACCGCAAAAATGGCTGATCCCCGTGTTGAAGAGCTCCCTGACGAGGAGGTTCCCAAGGCCAACGTTGAGGACGCTGGCAGCGACTCTGAGTCCGAGGCTGGTGAGGAGTCCAGCATCCCCGCTGGTGCCGCTGTCACCATCCACTCCCGTAACGAGAAGAAGGCCAGAAAGGCCATTGGCAAGCTCGGCCTGAAGCACGTTCCCGGCATCACTCGTGTCACCCTCCGCAGACCTAAGAACGTAAGGACACGGCCCATTTGCGCGACAATCAACTGTCCATATAGCTCGGGTTCCTGCACGGCAGAGCCCAAATGTGAAAGAGCAGCAGCTAATCCGTCCTCTGCAGATTCTCTTCGTTATCAACCAGCCCGATGTCTACCGCTCTCCCTCCAGCAACACCTGGATGTATGTGTCTTACGGATTCCTTCGATGAGCGTCTATCATTTAGCTTACACATTTCAACAGCATCTTCGGTGAGGCCAAGATTGAGGACCTGAACTCCCAGGCTCAAGCCTCCGCTGCTCAGCAGCTGGCTGCCGCTGAGGCCGCTGCTGGCGAGCACGCCGGTCACGACCACGACCACGACCACGGCAAGGGCAAGGCCCCCGAGGCCGAGGCCAAGAAGGAGGAGGAAGAGGATGATGGTGAGGAGGTCGATGAGACTGGCCTTGAGGCCAAGGACATCGAGCTCGTCATGGCTCAGGCTAATGTGTCGCGCAAGAAGGCCGTCAAGGCCCTGCGCGAGAACGACAACGATATCGTCAACTCGATCATGGCGCTCAGCATATAAACCCCGCCAAGTTGAATCCACGCCGTCAGTGGCTGACGTCTTAGCCCTGCTGGCAGGATGAAGAACTCTGGGTGCGACGTCAGGTTGATATCCCTTTGACACATGTACTGTCTCGCCCTTAGTGTAAATCAGTTAGTTCAAAAAAGCAGAATTGACCGGATTTAAATCACTCTTTTCTACGGGCCATTCTTGCCCTGGAATATTGTATCTCAAAATCATTACAATCTGGAAGATATTACATCTAAACTCCCAATAAATAATGATGCATACCAATCTATCCGCTCGCCCTGCTTGATGGTTTGCGGCTGTTGGTGGATGGGTGTTCGGAACACGGGAACAAAATAATCACGTGATTTTATCCCCATCCAAACCTTGCCGAAACAACCCTCATCTCGGAATGTCCAGGTTTGCACGTTGAAGTCCCCCTCTTTTCCCAATCTTCCACCATTCCATAAATAAAAATGGCTGCTGTATGTTGCTTGCGCTTTTTCAACACGAATACATTTTGGATTGGTAGGATTTGAATCGCTAACCCTCTTTTTTGCAGCGAAGCGCCGCTCTCAAGATCGACTGGGTCAAGGTGACCAGCTCTCTCGGCCTGCGCGGCCAGACCGCTGCCTCTCTCCAGGCCTTCAAGAAGCGTAACGACGATGCGCGCCGCAAGGTCCAGCTCCTGTCCGAGCAGCCCCAGACCGTCAATTTCGACCACTACCGCAGCATCCTGAAGAACCAGGCTATCGTCGACGAGATTGAGGGTTACGTCAAGAACTTCAAGCCCGCTACCTACGATGTCAGCCGTCAGTTGAAGGCCATCGATGCCTTCGAGGCTCAGGCCGTCAAGAGCGCTGAGGAGACCAAGGGCAAGGTCGAGTCCGAGCTCCGCAACCTGGAGAAGACCCTGGAGAACATTGAGACCGCTCGTCCCTTCGATGAGCTCACTGTGGTATGTTTTAGGTTACAAGGCTGAAGGCTATTGGTTTGCAAGACATATGAATTGACCGTTATTTAGGATGAGGTCGCTGCTGCTCAGCCTGAGATTGATGAGAAGACTGCTGCCCTCGTCTCCAGGGGCAGATGGATGCCGGCCGGATACAAGGTGGGTTACAATCCCTGGGCATTTTCTTTTATCGGAGTCGATTTACTGATGATAATTCGTTTAAATAGGAGCGCTTCGGTGACTTGTCCGCTGTTTAAAATGTCAGCATTTGCATCTCATTTCCCGCATCTTTTATCCTACAACCAGTGGAATTACACGACGGAAACTACTTGTCAAGCCTGTTACCGAATGGCTACCATTCCTGATACCTGGCCGTATATTTCTTCTGGTCGACGGATCTGTATAGAATCAATGTTGAAATTAGAAGACGGTTTCCCTTGCCTCTATGCATCCAGCCATTTTCGCCTTTGGCTCGTAGCCATGACTCGTCCTTTTCGATGCTTAATACTCCCGTCTTCATTGATTCACAATTTCTCGCATATATATGTGAAACTGCTGTAGATCGCGTTCCATTTCCAAGCCCGGGGAGCATTGGACCAGAAACTCGCTTGCTCCTGTACCTGTTACCAGTAAAACGAGTATCCGCGATCAAAGATTGCAAGTATTCAGAGAGAAAAACAAAAACCAACAAAAGCAGGCCCGTCAAATGTGAGAGTTCTTGTGATTGGTCAACTAGCACAAGTTTTGGATATATCAAGTGAGTCAAATGCTGGACTCTCAGCAAACTCGGGTTGTTCCGCCTTCAGCCCCTGTCCGTGTAAATGAATAGATGCTACTACCAGGCTCTTAGCGACTCGCTTTGCATGCCGTTTCTGATATTGCAGCTTTGCTTTGACCGAGGCTTAGTCAGTAGCACTGATGCCGTCCTTTCGTTTATTCCAGACTGAGAGCATTGGTCCGACTGGTATTGTTGGTTATTTCTCTGGATCGATATCTGAGGGCAACATCGAGCTGGCGGCCGAGTGCACAACCCTCGTCCTGCAGAATAGTCCCTGACGCATACTTGACAATAATGATGATTTAAGAGAGACGGTTACTCCTGTGGCTGCGCAGTCTTACCTGGCCTCTCATTGCGGAGCCTGGCATATTTGAGACAATATATATGGATTCACCCCTATGATGACATGAGTATCAGAATATTGTCTCCGCTTGATTTCACCACCACCATTCACGCTATGTCAAATCACATCATAAAACCACATGAGGTTCGTCAGGAACACGACTCCAAGCAGATGGATCAGGAATCGCCTCCAGCGCAGGTTCTGTCTAGGCTGGAATGCCTCCCAGTGGAGCTCCTCCAGAAGATCTTTCTACACAGTCTCGAGTTCAATCTTCCAAGAGCCTCGATTTGCCTTGCTAGGGCTCTGTCAAATCTGACCCTATATACCTGGCTCATTCGGCTGGCCTTCAGTAGTTCCAATGAGAGCTCCAAAAACGGCTTTTTTACCCCAGACTTCCTGCCTCCGCCACTAGACTTCTCTGCGCTATCTACAGAAGAACGAAGCGATCTCCAAAGCGCAATTCTCGCATGTCGCTGGTGTACGCTAGAGCTCATGCGCAAATGCCAGAGAGAATACATCGAACACGCTGTCCGTCTCAAGTGTCGAGATCTAGTCTTCCCCCCTAAGGACTGCGACATCATAGCCAAGATCGGTGAACACTTCCACGACCTCAGACGCTACGATCACGGCCACCAAGGTCGTCTAGGAAAAGGCGATCTAATTTGCAGGGCTCAAGATCCAGAAACCAATGCGGAGTATAGAGTCGCTGTGTGGTTCAACTTTGGCGCCTTCCAGATACGCAAGCCGAATCCGATTCATACCGAGCTCGATCTCTTCCGACTTCCCTGTTGTGCGGGTGAAACTCCCTCGCGTATGCCGGACAAGTTGCTGTGTCCTCCTTGGACAGATACGAAGATTGAATTTCTTAAATTACTATGTACGGAGGTATACATCGATGAGGACGAGGAATTTGAGCGTTCTGGGCGCCTGCTTCGCCAGGTAATCCGGAGCCGCGACTACGGTACTTTCAAGGTACTGGTGGAACTCTTCATTCGGATTCGGATATATAGGTATCCCCTCCGCTGGCCTATACATCGGTTACATTTCAAGGCAGCTTTGAAGTATGCCGACTCTTCAAACGATCCTTTCCTCAACTTTCTGGTTCGGGAACGTTGGGATGATTTACCTTCGTCTGATATAAGGCTCAAGGGTGAACTGATAGCGAAAGTAGGAATGAGTTCTCCAGCATGAGGTATAGACTTTACAATTCGATCCTCTTGAGAGACGTGAACAGGGAGAAGAAGTATGTATTAACCGTTATCATTTAGAAATACATAAGATTCTAAAGACGAGCGACACTGCTGGGGTATGAAGAAAGCAGACGAGAAAACCGCGAACATGGACGAATAACGAGACGAAACTGAACAGACAAGTCCATGAACACAATGCGTATCATATCCATCATAACTCATTAAGTCCGGCAGGTGCAGTGATTAGACCCTTGATCGTCGATGTCTCCTCATCCTTCCCCGGTTTCCGCAGTAGCCACAAGTGAGGCATGTAATAACGACATCGCAGAGGGAGACGACACCATTGATGATGGCTTTAAGGACTGCGCCGATGGTATTGACGATGCCCATGAGGCAGGCGCCGATGGAACGGAAGACGTCCCGGATCTATGGAGTGGTTAGTGAAGATTTGTAAAGACCTCACAGGGTAGAACATACGCAAGACACGACAGCACCCATATTGATCAAATGCTCTTGTTTTAGTGTAGGATCTTTGTTTTGATGTGGATCACGGTTTGTGGTTTAGAGGAGGAAGCGTTGTTTGTGTTTGCCAAAGTACTGGAAGATGCAGTAGTATGGACTGAGGTATCAGAGAATGGACGCATTGTTCAAGGTTGAATGGGAGGGGGATATTGAGACTATATATGGCAGGTACGATGTCACAATAGCGCCAAAGTCTCAGAATGATGTATGAGGTGGGATATTCCAGGAATGTGACAAGTGAATATCGTGAAAGGGGCAGGTCAGAATAGAAGCCTCTAGAGAAAAGATGCTACGAAGGACGTAATTCTATGGCATGGTAACCTCCACAGAGCCAGGACCGACCCTCGTCGATGCCGTCATATCGACGACTGTTCACCCTGGTTTCTTGGTACGATTCGTCTGCATTGGGCAAATTGAGTGTGGATCGAGGAATTACCTGTCAGGTGGTCCTGGAACAAAATGTGTTTGGATCCAGGAAGAGCTTAACCGTGCTTTGACCATTCATGAGGCTTGACTTTACCATCATATCGGTTCTTGATATTCAGGCTGCGCAAGTGGCGTTGAGAAACTTGACAAACTGAAATGTAGAGAGGTACATAACTAGTTACAGCATGGTATGACATCATCACTTGTATCTACGGCACTATCCCCTATACAGCCTAGCGCTAGGGCTGAATGAAGTTATGTCAGCTGACCTACAGAAACCCTTTCCTCTCTTTATGGTAAGGCTCTTCACAGACCTCTCCCTCATTGGCTACGGCTGTTTGTGATGTTATACCATAAACTGTGCAGATTCCCAAGTGTCAAAGATATCGTCATTGCACCCTGCCACCCCCAGCCCTACAGGGCTAAACTGTGCTTCGAACCGGGTCGTGTACATTCCTCGAGAATCTACAGGCTCCGCTTGTCATGGCGCAAAGACAACCTTAACTCTCGTCGGACGAACTCCAGTCATTTCCCCTAGCCGGGCATGCTGACCCCAATCAGGGTCCGCGGCCGTAGAAAGAAAGTCCTTGCACAGAACCCTAGTCATGATCAAGGGGCGAAGGCAATACCAAGCGGTCCCAAGGGCGGCCGGCCCTTAATGTCCCGTGAGGCTCGGCTGGACTCGTCTCAGTCCAAGAGCAACAAGAGAGCTCGCCTGTGGGCCGCCAGGCCGTCGAAACGTCGCAAGACATTGTCCATACTGGAGACTCTTCCGGTCGAGTTGATTGAGAAGATCTTCTTGTACTCGTTAAATGTCAATCTACCCCGTGCATCGCCTTCGCTGGCGGCGGCGGTGTCGGGTGAGCGCATCTATCGCGTGTTGATACTGCTCGCTTTCTGGAATGATTCTGCCGCAGGCGCTGAGGATCCTGACTCTGCTATTTCGAGGATACTGAGACCTTTGGACTATGTTCCTCTGCAGGATGACGACCGCGAAAGTCTTCAAACATCCATCTTGCGCTGCCGGTGGTGCACGATGCCGCGGTTGCTCAAGCAATTGTCAGACATGACAAACCTGACTATCCAGAGACATTGGGTCAATGCTGGTATTGAAATGACTGAAGACCAGCAAGAATCCTTAGATCGGTTCCTCGCGCGAGAAGACGACACCTCTACATACGAAGGTGCTGACAAAGACGGCAATCACTACACTCTATCCATCACTCCCTTCGTGTCTGTGAATATCGCGTGCCAGGAAACCGATGAGCAACAAACCCACAAAATCCTCAGCATGAAACGCTTCCCCGAGAAGCTCCTTCTTGGCGCTGGCGGAGAAGGCTTTAACGACGAACACGCAATGTACCTTGAAATCATCCGACTCGCCTGCGGGCTCAACCGCTCCGATCACCTGGAGACAGACGTCTCTGTCTCTCGCGAGTCCCTGCAGCAAGGCGTCCACATCGCCCTCGTGGAGCACAACACAAGAGCACTCGCGACCCTCCTCAAAATAGACGAGTACGTCTTCCGCAGCAACGCAAACGTCGCCGGCGGCCTGCCCTACAGCATTCCGCCCGAACATTTCCGCACGGCTGTTCGAGTCGCACGGCATGACCCAGCTCTTTTCCAAACATTGCTTCGAGCGAGCGCGGAATCCGTCCCGGCGGATGATCCGGAAATTACGGAATGGGCGATGGATCTTGGTGATTCATTTGGTCATTGGTTGCTGGATTTGATGTTGAGGCTCCCACAGCAGATAGAGACTGCGAACGCCAATCCGGCAGAGGGTGCGGTGTTTTATCTGGGGAGAGCCAATGGGCAGATTGAGCTGGCGAGACGGTATTTGCGGGATGTCTTGCACGTGGACGAGCTGCCGAGTTGGATGGAAGAGGCATCCGTTGACCTGTTCAGTCAATGGAGGGTTATCACAGCTACGACCGACGCGACGGATTCGTAGAGAGCCGGTATTGAGCACATGCTGCTGCAAGTGCAATATTGTCTGGTCAATCAAGAGGAGGGTGAATCATAATTTCATTATAATTAATTAAAAGACCTATACCCTCATTGGTGGGTTATTGACAGGTATTTCACCTTAATACAGTAGATAATCCCTTCACATATTCTTCAAGAGCCGCAGGATCCCTCTTATCCTGCCGGCCAACGTCAACTGATACCCGGTCTCAACCACACCCTTGCACAGCTCCCAAGCTCCCGTACCATTCTGCTTATCATCATCACCCTTCTGAATCGGATAGTCCACCCGCGGTGGTATCCTTGTAGCCATCAACTTGGGGAAGCGATCCACACAGATTGCCTTGATATTACTCACGGCGCGGAGACCCTCTTCTCCAGCGAACCGACCGTATCCGGAACCTTTGACGCCGCCAAACGGCAGCTGCACAGCGTAGTAACTGGCAAAGTCATTCACGGACACCATGCCCGCTTTGATCTGAGATACACACGCAGCGACATCTTTCTGGTTATACCCGAAAACGCTTGCTCCAAGGGCGTACATTGTTGAGTTTGCGATGCTGATAGCGTGGGGCACTGATTCCGCGCGCATGAGGACAAAGACCGGTGCAAAGAGTTCCGTCTGGGCAATCCGCATGGACGGCGTCACGTCGGCAAGGAGAGTGGGCGTGAAGTAATGGCCGTGGGGGTATCTCGGGTGATTGTATCGCTTGCCGCCGCAGATTAGCCGTGCGCCTTGTCTGACGGCGTCTTCGATGAGAGATTCCAGTCGATCAAAGGATGCCGGGGAGATCATCGCGCCCATGTCCGGCGTGTTTGGTTTCTGCTGGGAACCATTTGGTTTAGAGTCAAGCAGAACGGAGCCAAGACGGAGGGCTTCAATGCGAGGGGCGACGGTGTCCAGGAGTTTGTCGTATACGCCTGGGAGGGCGATGACGCGCTCGACGCCAATGCAGTTTTGGCCGGCGGATTGGAAAACACCGCGCATGAGCACCGAGGCAATGGAGGATACTTCGCTCACGGTCCGGGCGTCGTCCAAGATGACGGCGGGATCCTTCCCGCCCAGCTCTACGGTGACTGGCGTCAATGCCTTGGCTGCGGACTCGCACACTTTGTGGGCGACGGGCCGGGACCCAATGAAGGTCAACTGAGAGATATCCGGGTGAGATGTCAGGGCGCCTGCGACATCGGGAAGGCACACAACGCTTTGTACTAGGTCTCGCGAATGGCCGCAGCTCGAAAGAGCGCCTCGGATGATTTCAAGGAAGAACGTAGTGCACCACGCAGTCTGCTCGGACGGCTTCACCACAATACCATTTCCAGCGAAGATCGCGCTGATGACCGGGGAGATGAAGTTGTGGAATGGATAGTTCCAGGAGACGCAGGCGGAGACAACTCCCAGAGGCTCGTACGTGACCATGTTTTTCTTGTACATCATCAGGAAATTTGTCGGTCGGGACTCAGCCGTCAGGGCCTTTTCGCCGTGGTCAATGGTCCATTTCAGCTTCTCCGCGGTGACGAGGATCTCCCCGAACGAGGCGTCGACTTTTGTTTTCCCCGAATCCAGGCAACATGCAGCGACGATCTCATCTTGGTGGTCGAGAACATATCTGCGGATTTCGAATCGATCGTTAGCTTCCAGGTCCTCGCTCGAACCTGTATTCAGGGCTGGCGAACGCACTTGAGCAATGTCCGAAGAACCTTCCTCCTATCGGCAAAGCTAGTCCTAGCCCATTCGACTTGCGCGGTTTTGGCAGCTTGTATCGCTCGGTTGACATCGTCGGCGGTGTTCGGCTTGATTCCGGTGCCCAGTACTCGTCCGTCCGAAGGACAGTAACTCATAATCAACTTGTCACTCCATTGCTGTGCACGTCACAAGGCATTAGCATCGCGCCTTGTGTCCCGTCGATCAATCGTCAATGCGCAGGGGAGATAAACCTACACCTCGAACCTGACCTTCAAGCACCCTCTTCTCCTCACCTTGCACGTCCTCCCACTTCTTGCCGGTCCAGTTAGCGCGAACCTCAGCCGGTAATGGGACATTGAAAGACACAGCGGCCTCCTTGCTGCTCAAAATGAAAGCGTAGCCCAGGTAGATAGCAACCACAGAGATCACTGCGACGCCAAGCAGCTGTGCATGGCTCGCCAGGGTGTCAATGAGGGGAGCCAAAGCAGGAGGAACGAGCGAAGCCAGAGAGTCCATCTTGGCAATCAATTGCACCTCAATTGATTCCTAGAACCTCTCCTGGAGGATGTGTCGCTCGTGCCTGGAAGGGAACTTTTTGGAGCAAAGGACCAGCAGTGGTCTCATCTTTTTATCAATAATTCCGGTACGGTTACGCGATCGAAGCACGGACCACCTGAGGATAAGGAGCAAACAACCAAAGGTATCATAATTCCTGTAGCTAACATGGCTTCACTTGACTAGGGAATAGAAGCACACTCACTCGCAGATCTAGCTAGTTGAACACAGTGTATTGAACAATATTCGTCGTCTCATGTCTCCTGACTGTTTATCACGTACCCCGGAATCAGTAATCGGTAAATATATACCTCTCTAGAGCAACAAATGTATGTAAATA